GTTTTCCTTCAGTAAAGTACACAGTAAAAATCTAAACTCCTAGCAACTGAAGTTTAGAGCACATTTGCCTTCTTTCTTGCTTTTTATAATTGTAGGAAATGGGGAGGTAGCTGCTTATGTCAAGTTGGGACAGAAACAAACCACTGGCAAGGTTTTTGCAATAACAGTGGACTGCTGGACCCAGTTTCTTCTGCTAAAGGACAACAGGCTCTTGCGTTAAGAAAACTGTAATACTTTTTTATCCACCCTGAATGCTACTTACTGTAATACCCCAGAGCTCCCATTGGCTGACTGTAAATGTAGCCAAAGGGTGTAGTCTGTTGACAAAGATTACAGCTTGTATGAAGAGATAGTAAGAAGCTTGAATTTAGCTTTTGACAGTCAAGGCCACAAACTTCTATCAAAAGTGTGCCGAGTGCTTTCTTTCACTCTATTTTAATGGAAATAGAGTTGTATCAAGGCTACCATAACCTACTTGAAAAGACAACATCAAAGTAGGTGCTATGGCAACAGTGAAGCTTTATTCTCAGTCTGTTAGGAGTGGGAGACATGGGCAATGCAGTGCTGCTGCTGAGTTACATTGGCAGATGAGGAAATGAATCCAATTTACCTCAAACTATCCTGGACAACTACAGCTGTGGAGTTTCTGCAGTTGTGGGGGTGGACTGGGCTGCAGTGACATTTGGAGTCAATCTTGTGGTGTGTCAGCATGCTTTTTGAAGGAACCCAAATGCTATTTGCATTCAATTTATGTGTGGGAACAAAGTGTGGCTATTTGCAGGGCTTTTTCCACTCACTGGATAAATTAGTCTAGATAACAGAACACTTGAAATTACTTAGAATTGTAAACTAATTTATTTTAAATAAAGTACTCTAATTTTCCTCCTGTTTTTAAGGTAACTTGTATGCCATAATGGCTGCATTGGAGACCTGTGTATCTGAAGCTGAATGGACAGTATTGACTAGTACTTGGACTACTTGCATTCTGTCTGTGAAAGTCTCCTCACTTGTATACATAAACAATTTCTGGACTTCTAACTGGGCATAGCTTGGGGATTGACTGTAGTAACAGCTAGAAGACTGTTACCTGGTTATCCAAGCTACTGTCTTTAGGACTGTCATTTACTTCTGAGATGAATTGGGAACCTTCTGAGCTTGGACTTGGACTTAGAGTTTGAATATGTTATAAAAACATAAATGTAGCTGAAGAAGCATGCTTACTGTGAATACAGGTTTTGCCCTGAAATCTATTAGCAGGCAACCACTGCTTCCCATTACCAGTTTGTTGAACACTAGCCAAATGACTGTAGGAACTTGTTTGGCATCAGAGTGGAGAAATGCAGGAGTGACTTAAGGGTCTGGGTTTGTCATCTACTGTTTAACTATGTAATTTAACTTGGCACCAGTTCTAACAATGTTTATTCCAGTGTACTGGCTTGGCTATTAACTCACCCAGCAGAATACAGACTGTTAGTTTGACAGTAGTCAGAGAACGCCTAGTGGGTATCTACATATAGTCTGATACGGAAGGAGTGCTAGACAGAATCTGTCTTGTCTTACCATCTTTCTATGCTTAGGATTTGGGGCTATGTGGAGCTTCTGCAGAGCTGGTTTATTGGTCCTTCTGGAATAATGCTTTATCTGCAATTCTGACTAGTAACTTATGGTTGTCTAATGTCTTAGGTAATGCATAATCCTTTCAGGTTGAGGGCTTGCATTCAAACTGCTAAGAGGCATGATTTTGGACTGGGAAGTTGTTGAAAATGTTTTGGTAAAAATGAGACTAATTATTACACTGTAGAAAAAACAAATTGCTGCAGTAATTATGCTGAATTTATCAGAGGAATGAGCTATGCTCCAGGGGCTGTGCCAAACTGGGTCATGAGTTTCATGACAGTAGACTTTGCAGCTCAGCAGGCCAGAAAGCCAACAGTATAATGCTGAATGAGCATGGGGAGCAATGTTTGTAAAAATGAAACTAGCCTGACTTCAAGTTTTGTGCCTTACTCTTATCTCTGTTTTAGTAGGCAAACAAAGCATGAACAGTGTTCAGAATAGCTACTGGCACCTCAGTGACTAAACAAGGATAACTCTCAACTTAAACTGTGAAGCTGATAAGACCATACAGGATATTAAAAAAGTTATTAAAGTGACACTTCAGTAGAAATTGAAAGTTTCTGTTGACACCCTAGGGTTGTCCTACCAAATTCTTGCCCAGTGATAGCCTGTGCTTCAGCAGCTGTTTGGCTTGCTTAATGAAAACTATCTGCCCATGGTAGACAGAGGCAGTAGGACATGCTGAAACCCTTCCTACTGAAGGAAAAAGTTGTCTGCTCAAGTGGGGTAATAATCATAATGAGAAAGGCACATGCAGTAACTTCAGATGTGAATATATCCTGAGTTAAAAATAGGGACCTAAGATGTGAATAGGTTAAGCTGTATAAAAGAGTACTCTCAAATTGCTTTTTTAAAATAGATCCTTTTTAACAGCTGCATATCTGAAGAACGCTGCTCTATCAGTACTAATTTCTAGAAGGTGAATTGCTGCAGTTTCTGGATTTTAAGTAACACAAGGTTTAGAAGTTGATCTCAACAGATAGTTCTAATTCATATCCAGACCAAATGACAGGGAACACACATGTTCCTTTAGTGTGTAGTTGTCAAGTTGTGACTTGTAAGCCACTTAATTTAATGGGAGCCTTCTAACATACTCTTCAGTTTAAATGTTTCCTGTGCTTATGCTCAAAATGGAAGAAGATTTTTGGAACCTAGAGGGAAAACAAGTACTCTTAACAGTTCTTTTCACTAACTTGCTAGCTGGGCTAGCATGTCAAAAGTTCAAAAGGGATTGTAGAAGGTAAAATGAACTCAATTGGCACTTCTACCTGACGTTATACCTGTAAGCCTGATATGTTGTTTAGAGATTAACTTTACAGACTTCATGGCCAGAAGCATGAAAAGAGTTCCTGAAGACCTGGGGACTCATTGGTTTTTAGCTGCTTTTATTCAATTCTAATCCCTCTTGTAAGTAACTTGAGAGCAGAATGGAATATTTTCTGTAGGTGAGAGCCTATATGTTAAATATTGTAAAGGACTTTCTACCCAAGACACTGACAAAGGGTTGATATTGTAATGTGGAAGGCTGAACCAGTTTAAAAAGCCAGTAGCTGAAATCAGAGAAAAATAATCCAGTACTTCTGGGAATCTCCTTCATGTACTCTGGGGGACCTAGCTTTATTCACTCTTGAGTAGAGTATTCTTATCCTCAAGACAAGAGTGTTTATAAAGCCTGGCTTCTGACATAATAAAATTGCACTTAAGACTATTATTAGTCACTAGTACAATCAACAATCCTTTACCTGGGAAGGAGAGCTTGATTACTTTTAAACATTTAGCAATAAGAGATTTCATAAGAAAGTACTGTTCTGTACCTTATCATTTGTAAATCATGGACTAAATAGCATAATGTGAAAGTACACAACTAACTTCTCAAGTACTTTTAAACTGTGGCAGCTAAAAAACTTGTTATTGTCTGGAGGTAATACAATGGCCCATAGTCATAGGCCTGCCTAGTACAGGAGAGTATGTCTGCAATTAAACCTGTTTTGAGCAGCCAAAAGTATCACTCAGTGATAGCTTAAGCATACATCCTACAAATTATACTGTACAGAGATACCCAGTCAAACCGCGACCAGAAGCTCAGTGAGATGGCTTACAACTTAAAATAAAACAACAAAAAAATAAAAGGCACTAGCCAAGAATGACTGCTGTGCTTCTGCCAACAGGAAGACTGGGGATAACTGTAGTCACATGTGAACATCAGCTTCCTAGGGTACTCCTCAAGAGTCTTCTTTAAAGGTGTATTAAGACAGTGAATATGCAGTCTGACAACAGTAAGCTTTATTCTGCTACTGCTGATTATGCATGGTAATTACAGGTTCTTGATCTTGCTTTTAGTAGGGTCATAACGCCTATAAACATTTTTGTAACACTCTAGCCAGTTTGCCATATCAATGACATGTAAGCTTCAGAGCGTGGTCTTGGTGCTTTCCATTGTGGGGATGTCATTACGAGAGTGCTCCCTCAATGTCTACTCTTAAAATAATGTGCAAGTTGACTTGCAACTGTGGGAAAACACTGTACCCCAAGAATGAACCGAAGTAATACAGGCTCTCACACAACTTAATGTAAGGACATGTATCAGGGTGTTCATGTATTTAACATGGTCTTGTGCAGTGTTATAGCCTGGCTCCCAGTTGATGTCTCTTTCAGGTATGTTGAGTTGGGTGCTGACTCCTAGCCTTGTTCAGGAAAGTTCTGCCTAATGAAGCTCTGCTTGGTTTAACTTTGTAGTAAGACAGTCCTATCTCATCAGCACTGAATGTTTTGTTGCATCTCAGCCTTCTTGGCTTCTTTGGAGCTATCCAAACTTGGCAGCTTGTACTGTCACATCTTTGGCTTCATCTGTCCTGTATGGATTCACTGCAGGACTTGCTGATTTTGCTTTTGAAGATGCTGGAGGCCATGTTGTGTCAGGTAATAGAAAAGTACAGGAAGCTTGGTTAATGTCCTATGCTGGTACCTGAAACACTCCCTTGAATGCAGTAAGAGGAGCCTGTGTGGATTAAGAAGACTTTTTCTTCCCACCTCCAATTTTGTACATGTATTGGCATTGGGAATCCAGCACCTGAGACAGTAAAAATAGCAGGTGCTTGTGTAACTTTAGGAAAATATCAAGTGGCCAGCAAATCTGCTAGGTGATATGGTGGCAAAATACCAGTGATTAGGATGCCATATAAATGAGGCCTGCAGTTAAGCGGCTTGAGGCACAGCTTACTCGTGTAGCTTACAGAACTTTATCTGTATTTCTGTATCTTGAGTGTTTCTCAATACTGTTGTTGCTTAAGTGGAACTAATTTGTAGCTTAACAGCTTGTTTCTTGCTTCTGCTTATCAAAATTTCTATTTTGTCTAATCAATAGCTTATGGTCTTGTTTTCAGACAAATCTACCTATCTTCAAATTGAAAGAATCTACGGTCAGAAGAAGATACAGTGACTTTGAATGGCTAAGGAATGAACTAGAAAGAGAAAGCAAGGTGGGTAAAATGGAAGGTAAATACAAGTCTTCGCAGACATACAAAGAGTACTGATGCTGAAATGTTATCATTGTTATAAAGCGTATATATCATATAGAGCAGATGCTGTGGTTGAAAATGTCTAGAACTAAAAGACTGTCAGTCTTTAAGCAAACCTCAGTTATACAATGCTAGAGGCTGTTTCATGGTTTTGAGTTAATTTGGAGTTAGACTACTTGAATTCACCTTACCTCCCTGGGCAGATACTGTTCTTCTCTGGTCATGTTTTATTGCTTCACTAGGGATGTGATTCAGTTGGGTCCTCTAGGAGGAAGAGGTGGCATAGGAGGTGTATAAACTTGCTTACAGGCTGTACTTATGGACACTTTTCTAAATCTTTCAGGTTGTGGTTCCACCTCTTCCAGGAAAAGCTCTTCTCCGTCAGCTCCCTTTCCGAGGAGATGATGGCATATTTGATGATTCCTTTATAGAGGAAAGGAAGCAGGCTCTTGAACAATTCATAAACAAGTGAGTGTTTGGTCTAGTTATCGGGAGACAAACCCAGAATTCAGCTCCAGAAAATTTAATTAAAGCTGCTAATCCTCTAACTATGGTAGCTGCGCTAAGTTCAGAGTAATAACTTTCACATAATCTTGCAGTAGGACATACTAACATTGCTCATCCAGTGTTTAGTTTAGATGTCTTAGTGTTTACCTAAACAGCTGAAATGAATGTTAGTGTTGTTGTTAATTTATGCAAATTACTACTAAAATTATAGCATTCAAAATAGTTCTACTTTTTCATTTCTGAAAAGGTATCCTCCACTGGGTGAACAATGGAGCTTACAATGGGCTTACAGCAGTTTACTTTGATTGCAGATGTGAGGTATTATCAGCTTGTGTAATGATGCATATTTTCTCTAATCATCATGAGAATCTTTATGAAGATGTAGAAACACTACCTGAGGTATGCACCTCCATAGTTTGCAATAGATGCTTGGGGTTTTGTCACTGCCTTTCAAAGGGCGAGCAGAAGTTATAGTAACGAAGTCTTATGATTCTTTTTCTACCATCTGACACTACTAACCACTCTCCATATATTGACCTGAAGAGCTACTTTAATCTCTTTAACAATATGGATCCAAACACTGGGTAGGAAGGAACACTGTCAGTTAACCAGCTCTTCTGGTCTCTAGAGCCAGCACTGTTCAGACCAACTGGATTTGGGACTGCTCCCTTTAAAAGTTCAAGCTTGTCAGTTCCACTAGCATTCTAATCTTGTTCAATAGTAATGCTGTTTAATAGGGACACTGAGTTAAGCCAGAACTTATAACAATCTGCTTGTCATTGTTAGTTAGTTCAGGCATGTATCTTTGGAGTTGCAAGTGACTAGTTTACTAAAATTGTCTGTCTTGTGCAAGTAAGTGTGTATGAAATCTTTTAAGTTTTTCTTAACATAGTTGCTTGTTAGCTCAAGTTAGAGGTATTGCTAATGGTTCTGAGCAGGTAAAATGCTTCAGACTGCTCTTTCCTCTGTTCAAAGACAAGTGGAATCAATTTCCAAGGCATCTAGTTCTGCATTTATACTACATGAAGGCAGATATGCTTATAGTAAGATGCAATGGGGGGAGGGGGGGGTTAAGGCTGTACAATCAAGGTCATGACTGTAAAGTACAACTTTTATCCACACAGGCTTGGGACTCTAAATGCTGAAGTGCACTTACTGAAAGTTTTGTATGCTGAGTCTAGCAATATGTGGGGGAAGAGGGCTGTTTATGTTCTGAAGCAGCTAATAGTACAACAGTCATCTTAACTGGAATCTCTGAAAAACTCAGTATAGCTGACAAAGGGAGTGGCCAGTTTACTGGTATTGCTTGTTTAGTCCTACAGCAAGTAACAGGTTGATCTTGTGGAAGTGTAAAACTTCTTGGTCAATTTTTCCTCCTTTGAAACATAAAAGCAGACTGTTAATGAAGATATTGATGTAGTGGCAGACTTGAGTACAGCTGGAACAAGGCTCTTCAGGCACAACTCCTAGCTATTCAACCTCATCAATTTATTCTAATGGCATGACCAACTCATCAAGCAAATATTACTAATTAAAGTTTTGTACTATGTAGAAGCTTTAAGGCTTCTACCAAGTACTCTGGGTACTAGTGAACTTAGACATGAAGGTAATTTGCATAATACATTCATATTGCTGCATTCTCAAAGCTAGTCTTTACCTCTAGAACTAGAGAGGAGTCCCTCAGATAATTGATACCACTATATCCAAAAAAATCTTGGTGCACCAATGCCAGTTCTTGATACCCAGGAGTGTCAAGATAGATGTTGTTGAGAAGCTTTATCCCTCTAGATCTAAAATCTAAGAGGAACTAAATCACAGCAGTGCAGCTTACTTGAGTCAGCTCTCTTGAGCCAGCTTGCTGGCACTACCATCAATACTACATAGAATGACATTCACAGGGGTGGCTATGTTGCAACATTCTTGTCTGCCTGAACCGGACTGTGGGATACATGAAAATTCTTGAAGTAGCGGCTGCTATGTGTAAAGGTCACCTTAGTGAAGAAGTCTAACGAAAAGCCAATGCAGAGTGAGGTATTCATGTGAAACCAAGAGCTGAATCTGAGAGATCAGATCTAGTCTTGCAATTCAGCCACCAAATTGCAAGCCTTCCTGAAAGGGAGAAGAAATATGCTGCTGCCTCGTCATCTTCTCCTGTATATCTTTCTCTTGAAGTTCAAGGCCAGCAACTTCAGTCTGATGGGGGTAAGAAACTCAAACTAAGAAACTCCAACTAGTTATTCCAGACTTCCTTCTTTCTGAACTAGTGTTTTGGACTGCTGCCCATTTACTGAAACCTGGCAAGATTGATAGGTTTTATGACTGCACTTGAAACAATTTATCAAAGCTGAATAGGAGAGCTCAGCTTCCTCATTAAAGGACACCTTCAGTGACAAGTAAGTAGTGACAAGTGAATCTGTCCTGTGGTGAAATAAGCACTAATAGATACATTTGGAGAAGATGCACAAAAGTGCTTGCAGGTACTGATACTGAGCCACTGGAATTAACTGTGTATTACACCTATTCTACTAGGTAATGTCCATTTAGAGTAGAAATGTCTGACAGATATGGAGGCCATAAGGCTGACACAGGCTGTCCTAGGGAGGATGGGGGGCTTTCTGTCTTACAGGAAGCAGCCTGTCTTGGTGGACCAAACTGGATGTAACTTTTCAAAACAAACTGCTTTAGGTTTTCATGTGCATAAGTGATCAACTTCCAGGGATTCTGATTCTCTTGGATTTTTACCTACACAGAAGGCTGCATGGTATTTTAAGGGTTTAAATGCAATACCTTGTTGTTTTCTTCCAAACTTGGGAGTGTCTTCTAATACAGTTTCAGTTCCTTTACTGTTAAAAGGCTGATGGCTCAGTCTATATATGGAACAAAACTAAATCTACAGTAGAGATGCTGGTCTAGTCTAGAGCAGACAAGCTCTGTGTCTCTTATGTTTCATATCTCAAGACATCTGCAATTAACAGAATGGCCAGTACCCTCTGGCTGGGCATCAGTGCTGCTTGTAGTGCTAGGAATAGTGACCATGGTAAGTCACTGCTCTCAACAGTGTCAGAGCCTTCAGAAGACCTTCACACCCCCTGGTGGAGTAAGCCTTTAACTCTGCCTGGGCTAACTGCTATGGAATTAGGTGGAGAACTGAGGGGTTAAGCAGCCTTTAGAAAGGTGTCCTGTGTCAAAGGCATCAAGACCTGTAAAAAGCTGCTTGGCTTGCTTAACTCTACATTTCCTAATGCTAGGATGGGCACTTTGATAGTCCCCTCAATTGCAGGTGACAGATGATAATGTAACATGCTTCCAGATGATCAGAGGTAGCTCAGGCTTCCTATGGACTAACTTCATCTGGGGTAGAATGACAAGTCTTGCTGCCAGACATTCTAGTCACCAACAGTGAACTGGAAGTGGGTCTATGCCTAAGTGCAGAACCATGGGTTATTGGTATAAAACTTTGCTCTGCTGACTAGCTGCAAGTAGACTTGATTTGTTAGTACTAATGCTTGTTTTTTCCTCTCTAGGGTTGCAGGCCACCCACTGGCACAGAACGAGCGCTGTCTTCACATGTTCTTACAAGATGAAGTAATAGACAAAAACTACACACCATCCAAAATAAGACATACTTGAGTTCTGAAAACATCTTCTCAAACATTAGTGGTTCTTATGCTTGGTTTTAAGAGGTTGTAGTTTGTCTTAGCATGCTGAGGATAAACAGGCACGAAGTTTCCACTAACATCAGTACACTGCTTGGTCTTTGCATATGCTTTATACCGTAAAAGAACTCACTTGTCTTCTAGCTAAATCCCTCTCAATCCTTGATTTAAGAGTATTATACTATGAGACCATCCACCCCTGGCAATGTCTCACAAACCTTTCCACTCTTATTTGCAATGACTTAACAATGTTTACTGACTTGGCCTTACTTGAACTTGCACAGTTGTAGTGTCACGTGTTCACTTGTATTTGACTAAACTGCTATGCTGTTTCTGAGGTAGTCATCTGTCTGAACTTCTGTAGAAAGACTGCTTTATTTCTGATACCCTGTGTGAGAAACACTTATGCAATTGTCTTCAAGCTTGTAAAACACTTTATACTGAAGTAATGAGGGAATTATCTTTATATTCTGTAAGAGGGAAAAAAATCAAATTTATATACTAAAGTAACTTGTCTAAAGTTTTGAAATAAAAGTGAAAATGCACTTCAAATATTTTGTCACTCTTGACCTTGAGTGTGGGGTATCTTGTGCTTTCTGAGAAGCAGGGACTTGACTATAAGTGAACTGGTGTTTCAGCCTTGCTGCAATGCTCTTCTGCAATGTAGTCTTGTGTTACTATCAGCCAGCACTAAATACCCTTAGATGCTGGCAGTCACTGCTTAAGTGTTAAAGAACATACAAAGGTATTGAAGACTATTCCTGTGTTGTGGAGCCAAGGCTGGAACCCTGTTCATGGTAGGCAGTCAACAGATCGGTGGCTTCAATAAGTTTGGAAAGAGTACCTTTATACTTGGCATGACAAACATCAATCTAGCTTCAGCTAGCAAGTGAAAATTATACCATCCTACAGAGAAAGGAATATTGACATAACCTATAATATATAACTTCAGTCCTAGATTAAAGTAGCTTTCCTCTACAAATACAATTAGGGACATAAAGTCATACATGCCTGCTGTAAGAGGTGATCGTAGACCATGTCCCTGAACATTAAAGGAAGGGGAAGCTGTAATATTGTGTTTGTGTGACCACTGGTGAAATACAGGTTGTTGATGCCTGAACTGCAGTTCACAGGGAACACTGCTGAAGTTGTCTTTCTCACTAGATGCTTCTATGGCTGGAGAAGCTTCCTTAGTGCATCCAAATGTGACATGGGAGTTACCTATCCAGATGTTCTTGAAAACAGATTCAAGAACACTAGTAGCAATCTGATCCAGTGTTTTGTGCTATTTGGTAACAGTACACATTGGCTTAGACTTGACTCTGCTGCTTTTTTCCTTCTTATACTTCTTATCACTGTAGAAAACATCCTACAAGCTTACTGGTGAAGTTATTAGTTTCTTTTAACTAAGACATTTACCTAATTTATGGAAATCTGGATGTAAAAGACTGAACTGACAAATGAGGATTTTGTGTAGTACTAGTGACTAGCTACACTGAATAGTTAGATGCTGAAAAAATTGCTCTTTCCCCCTCATACTTAACAAAGACTGTGCTAAATCTCTCCAACAGTCCTATTAATGAAACCAGGGACCAAAACTGACAGAGCCCACTTGCAGCCCAGAGCTGTCTAGCTTTTCAGTAAGTTCTTGATAATGTAAAATCAATTCTAAAATTTCCTGTGTTGTTGAATCACATTTAAAAGTTGAGTTATTCTTGGAAAGGGGGAAAGAAGGACTAAATGTATATGAAGTTTTATTATTTAGGTTTAGATACATAGTAAAGTATTTTTCTCAAATGTTCTTTTCTGAGGGAAGCTTCTTTCAGAAATCAAAATGCCCCATCTTACCTCTAAAAGATGATGACACAATCTGTATCATCTGCTGGGGGTGCGGGGAAGAATTCAGCTGAAGAGGGAAAAGCTGCATGCTTGATGTCAAAGTATTGCTATTTCCAAAGTGAGGACTTTGGAGTGTTAACCTCTGAGGATGACAGGACATCTGCTCTGGGCTTTCACCTGGCCTTCAGTCTTTCCAGGCTAACTAGAGACCCTAATTCTAGTGTAGTGTAACTAGTTCTGCTTCTGTGCTATCTGCAGTACTGGGAGGAAGACATGGTCTAAGATTAGCTGTGCCTAAACCACAGAGATCTGGGCATTGTTCCCAGCTTGTGAGTCTGCTCTGCAGCTGGGCTAGGTCCTGCAGGTAAGGGGATGTGAGATGGGAGTGCACCCATTGCCCTGCCTGCTTTGCAACTGGGAGAAAGCCAGTATGCTCTGTTGCATCCTCTAGCCTGGGTGATCTAGGGACTGGGACTACAGCACACTGCAGAGTGTGGTAGCCTTGCAGTGTGGTTGCAGTTTGTGTTTATCGCTGCTCTGGGACAGCAGCATGAATCTGATTGAAATGAGTGTTCTGTTATGGGTTCTGCACAGCACTGGGTTCAACTTCCTTAGCTCATAAACTGAATTGTCACAGAGTGGGGAACCACAATTGATTTTTCTGCCCTGTCCAGTTCTTTTTAGTGTAGAGAGCAGAAAATAGTTGAAGGTTATTACAGGTGCAGGAAGAACACTTCATAAAGCATTTGTTGGTTTCTTTCCAACAACGTGCTATGCCTTGTGGTAAATGCATTCCCAAGTGCTCCATCCTAGTTTGTATAGAAAATGTTTTAAAGTCCGGTAGTCCATGCTTTGTCTCACCTGACTCATAAAAGAATGGTCTTGTATACTTTGTTCTGGCTGTCTTGGAAAGGATAGAATGTGAGACCTAGCAGACTGTGCAAATGGAAGAGAGTTGGGGTGAAAACTTTGACCTCTGAAATGTGTGAGATTTTTATGCTTGGAGTCAAGGGAGCTAGGATTTCACTTGTGATCTGTATTCCTTGACACTGAAAACCAATCAGCCATTGATATACACTGTACATCTCCATCTGTCATTTTAGTGTGCATGGCTCTTCAGTCACTCATTGCCATATGAACATTATGTTGTATTTCCCTTCTCCTATTGCCAACTTATTCTGTGCATTGGGAGTTGCTTACCTCTTTCTTTGGTGTGATTACACAATTGGACACCTTAATAAAACTTCAGAATCTTTTTAATTGAAGCAGTGTTTTTCTACTCTCACCCTTTGTTAGCTGCACAATTCACCAATATTAAAAATTGTAATAATATGAAACGGAAGACTTATACTAGGTTAGACCTCTGATCCATTTGGTATTGTGTCCTAGAAAAACCTCTGTGTCAGCTCCTTGAGAAGGAAACCTTGCAGCAGGTGTATATTTGGATTACAGAAGACAGCTCTATGCAGGACCTTTGTCCCAAGGCAGAATCACCTAAGCTGTTGCTTTAATGCTTGTCTAACCTGTTTTTTAAAACCACTGATGATGGAGACTCCACAGCCTCCGAGGCAATCCATCTGAGTAGAGGGTATTTCTGTTCCCTGGTAAGTAGGGTACAGTGGAAGAAACTAATCCAGAAATAGAAGGACCAGCATTAAAAGAACAGTGACAAGTAATTTAAATTCAATATATTTTTATTCTTTGTAAATACAATGAGTACAACTTTTTAACTTCACAAATCAGTTAATCCACTTTGTACAGGAAAAGTTTTACTCATTCTATGATAGTCCAAGTGCTGATTTTTCTCAGTGCTAGTTCCTAATAACAAATCAAATTTTGAAAAGTACAGCAGCTATCTTTAAATGTTTTTTCTACACTTTTCATACATCAAATAAGCAGCTTATAACATTTTTGTGTGTGAGAGGGTGTAGGCGAACAAGGCTTCAACATTAGAACCTGGAGTTTTCTAAAAAGGCATTGGAGACTTTTGGAAATTGTTAGCATTGTATCAGTCAACAACCTTTATTTCTTTGAAATAAAATTCCTTCCATTGATTTTTTTTTTAATAGTCATTTCACTTTTCTGCACATCTCATTGACAAAGAGTTTGGCCACCGTTGCCTTTGGTTTCAGCACTGTGCCAACGGGACAGCCAGCAGGTCACTGAAGCGGTCATCTCCATTGTATTTGGTTTTGCTGTTTTAGTCTTCCTTTCTTGACTTGTACCTTTTCAGGTGTCTGTGTGAATGTGTGTCTGTGGGTGGAAGAAAAGGAGGGAAGGTTGGGGAGGAAGTGTATAAAGCTCTTCTGTCTTTGAGATGTTAACTGAACAAATTGTGGTGACATCCGCATCAAAGATCACCAGTTCATTTTGCAGGAAGAATGCAGCTGCTGTCATAAGCTACTTTTTAATCAGTTCTGAAGGCCACTTCATGATGTATTATAGCAGAAGCAATGTTTTGGTAACCTGGTCTTAAATGTTGCCTATCATATTAAAACCATTTTCCCAACATAGGCTACTTTTAAAACAGTTCTGAAGGCCACCGCATCTCACGTTACAACAGAAGCCAAGTTTGGTCACCCAGTTCCAAATACTGAACAAACTAAAGTACCTTCTTTCACATTGTGTCTCAGATCTGCCAGTTAAATGAGAGAATAGCAGAGTCTTTGTTAACTATGACTGGCATCTGAATTGCCTCCATCCTGTAGTAACAGGAATAGCAGCCAAATTCCAACCACTTTCACTTTTTCTGTAGAACAAAGCATTCTCTCCATGATCTAAATCATTCTGTTCAGAGCAGCAGAATCATATCTACTGGGGTATTTTTTGTCAATGGGTTTAAAGGCTAAACATTCCCAGGCTTATGCTTCCTGTAGATTTTGTTAGTTGAGGCTTATTCTCCATAGGTAAAAGTTCTTCTCAAACTGTCCATCCTGATTGTTTATTTTAAGGTAATTTATATGTCACTGGATTTGTACATATCTGAAAGCAGTCTTGTAATTGGTACATTCCCAATGGTCTTTTTGAAAAACACTTCTTCTATTGTAGATGGACTAATCGAACGTAAAGCTGGTAAAAGCAATAAAAGTTTTCCAAAAC